CCGAAGTGTATGTGTGCCAAGTTTGGTCCGGATCGGTTCAGAAATGGAATTTTCTATTCGGAACATACGTACATACATACATACATACATACATACATACAGACAGACATACAAACAGACATTCAGCTTCATATATAAGATGCAGTACGTAAGCTCCGAATATGAATTACCATTTCGGAAGGACCGGATTGAATTTTGCACCATACGGGTGTCGTAGGTCGCTTTTTATCGATCGAAATCGATTCTATTGATTTTTCGCAAACTTTCGGTTACGGGGCTGAGAGTTGTACAGAGGTTAAGTGAGCATGCTGATTATGGACTGCCAGCTGGTGATATACAGGGTGTCCCAAAAAATGTATTCACTGTTTGCTCGTTAAAATCTCTTTTCCCAAGAAATCTTGGGAAAAGAGATATTAACGCCTTGCCTTGCTTCAGGCACCATTTTGTATAGCGAGGTGAACGAATCACCCACCTCTCTTCGTTACTGTAGGATTACGGTGGAAACTTCAAAGAGGGTTTTGAGCCATGAGGCCATATTTTGCCTCATAAAGGAAACAAACAGCCTGAAAACTTTTGCACTAGGCTAATTAGAGTTGCTGATTCCATTTGTAAAATTCCCAGCTTATTATAATGCTTCATTGAAGAGTTATGCCAGGTAAGAGGTAGCGGCCATTTTTTCAATGTTCCTAAAAAGTGCGGTTACACCGTTTAGAAAGCTTTGTAATCTTGTGAATAGTTGAGTATTGAACTCAGCGTCCATACAAACCCTATTACACAAGTTTTCACATTTTTTTGAAAAATTTTGAAACGGCAGCTTCTTCCACCTTGACACCACTGTTTCAAGTTTCTACCGTAATCCTTTAGTAATGAAGAGAGATGGGTGATTCGTTCTATACTGTAAATCTAAGTTGAAGCCAGCTCTACAAAATGGCGCTTACCGCTTTTCGAAAGCTCATAATAAGAGAGTTATTAACGATCAAACAGTGGATACATTCATTTGGGACACCCTGTATATTGACATTTCCACAAAGTCTCCTTTGACAATGAGAGGGTATACTTTGGCAAAGTAACGCTCCCACGTAAAGATAGGCAGATATGTTTGCTTACCGTGCTTAAGCAGCATGTATTCCATGAACTGTGTCCTAACCAGAAAAATCCATGTAATCTTCAACAGAGATTATCCTGAGCAAAGGGAAAGATTCCGCTATGTTGGGTCTTCTCCGCACGTGCATGACGGCGACTTTTTGATGATATTACATGACGCACACAAAAGAGGCTAACTGGCTGACGACCACTGCTTGCCCTTACTTTGCTTTAAAATGTGCAACATCGCACATCACTTCCCACTATGCGTAGATTGCTTTCGCTTAGAATAGTTGAAGAAATCTCTAATCTTTAAAGATACCCACTATTATATTTTATGAATTGTGTTCATGTTTGACACGTTGACGACAATGAGCATTTATAACCTTTGATTCAACTGGCTTGGCACTATTAGGGCGGGGTTTTGTGATCTAATTGAGGCCGCTCGCGCCCGCGACGCACCTGCGTCTCTCTCACGCAAGTGCTATCTGATCATTGCCTAGCCTCAATTAGGTCATGAAGCCTCGCCTTTGCTGATGCCAAGCCAGTTGAATCAAATGGTAGCTTCTGCCTCGTGGAACGATGGCCCGTAGTAAACCTCACTTCACTTTAGGTGACCAAATTCTTCCCGAACAATTTCGTGTCAAGAGAGGTATTAGCAATCAAACAGTATGCACATTTTCTGGGGGCACCCTGTACTCAGCAGAAGATTACTAGTATGCCCCATGCTGAAAAAATGCACAAATTGATGTTGGAAATGAGTGTGATAGAAACAAATAACTTCATCAAACAAACTACATATCTAATTATCTGGAAGCTTTGAGGATACAATATGATCTTGACTGTGACAGCTATGTTTCATAGCTTACAAATGCGATCCAAAGACAAAACGGCCGCTGACACGCAGATAATTTTCAGGCCTTTTTCGCCGTTTTTGAAGAAATAATTTTTGGCGAACGCAGTTGTTATTGTTAAATAGCGCAAGCGTCTTCTACATTGTGGACGTGGAAGTGCTTTAAAATGCTCAAAAAAATTCTAGCTGCGGAAAGTTCTGTTTTTGCGTTCTCCAATAGTACTGCTTACATTCCAGTTTTTGCAAAGATATACTGCAATCAATTTGGGCCGCAAAACGATATTTTATAGAGTACGGTTGCAGCGTTCTGTGATACAATTTTAAAACCAAAATCTTGAGTACTTCTTTGTGACGCCGCCGCTGCAAATATGGGCATACCCTGTATAGTTGAAGTCAACTTTCCAAGTCGAGTGCAATGATTTACAGGTTGGTTCATTACCGGACATAGTTCTGACCATTGCCCAGTTAGTTTTATTGCTATCTGTGTAATCGCTCAGGAGCTCCTTCGAACAGGTTCAGATTCCAGCAAGCAATGATTTACGTATTCTACAATTACATTTTCATTTCATCTACATAAGGACCGTCGAACCTAACCGACGATAAATTTTCATTCCAAGATGATACAACAAAGATTCGCCGACGAATGTTAAGAGATGGCCATCTATGTACTTGTCTAATGGTTATTTGCTTAACTTTATAGAAACCTGTTTGGACGTTTTTAGACGACCATTATCCGTTTGTAGTTGAGTATATATGTAAGTCTTCTAAGATACTATTCATTTCCTTTGTAGGTTCGTACCAGTTCAGCACTTGCTCTCACCTCAACCATGTACTTCATATTTTTGAGCTCAACCTCTTCACTGTTTCGCATCATCATGACTTAAACCGGCTAAGCATGTTTACGTCTTTTTGTCTTGTGTGTATGTGTGGGTGTGTCTGTCCGTTATGAGCCCAAATTTTGCATAGCGCACGCTACCAGCATGAAAGCTCAATATACAAAGTTATGAGCGGATCCGTTGATTGGATCCGTTGAAATTTGCGCGTCAAACGGATCCACTTGGCTTTTGGCCAGCAAATTTGGGTCCGTAATACGACTATTTGCAGAGTTATGGATAAATTTGACAAGCTAATGTGCAAGCCACGACGTTAGCCTAAAAAAAGTGATTAAAAGTCTACTACTTGATATATTAAATCAGCGGCGAACTGAGAAAAAAACACCCTTCCCCTTCATGTCCAACAAAAATGAGTCAAAAAATTATTGGCTCGCATAGCCTAAATAGCCTAAAATTCGAGTATAATAATTTTCAGATTTTTAGTTTCTAGATAGTCATCCAGCACAATTTGTACTTGAGCGCACTAAGCAATATATTTTGTAAGAGTACGCCACTTCTGCTTTGCAGAGGTTCTCTATCTCTACTATTCGTATGTCTTCATCGTGATCGCATAACAATGACTTTGAAACTCACCGCGCAATGCTGAAAATTACAATTGAGAACTGTAAACTGCTCATTCCGGAAGCTTTCGCATGTATTATCATTGACTTAAAAAAACTTTTCTGCAGAAGAACAAATGCGAATTTGATAAGCTGTTCCCATAGAGATAATAATCACCATGGACTACATATATGTGCAATAATCTTTGTTTACTAGGTTAAACCTTGAATAATCGACATTTACCAATCAATCCTTTTTGGCGCTGTTTTAGCAGAGAAACAGACCTTTCGAGCATTCCTTGAACAATTCATGGCTCGTAAATTCATTGTCAAATGTCAGACAAATACATGACGTTGCAAAAGTCAGATAAGCGACCCAGTTTTGAGTGCAAAAAGCCGAGTGGAGGCGCTCTAGGTGCCATTTGCGAAGGATCCGAGCATGGGGTCCATTCCGCCATTGTGGGTGTGCCTAAACTGCCACTGCACTGTGCAAAAATTTGGCCCAAGACGTATTCTACAGCTGGCTCCACGGTTTTTGTAACAGTCACACGTATGCGCACAAAAAGACAGACGCTTAGCGCTTTATTATAAGTCATGATGCTTGAAAAGTCCAAAATGACAATGGAGGTAAAGTGATAAACATGTATTAGGTTGTAAAGAAAGTTCCCGGGCACTTGCGAAAAAATTTTTCAAATCGCTGTAACTTCAAGTAGATTGATTCTTTTTTGAAGCTACAAACTTCATTGCAAAGACAATTTTGTCCACAACATATATCTGTCTTGCTGGCTTCTCAACACCTCACTGCGGTCCACCAGCATGCGCAGAAGGGAAAAAGGTCGTCGCAAAAAGTGGCCTATTTGTGCAGGATTATCTCAGGCAGGATAACAGCTGAAGACCCCAGATGCTGTAATTATATAGAAGTCTTCTGGGGCTGTTATGAGGACCATTCATGTCTTTGAGGAACCACCTGCAAAAAAAATTTTTCCAGAAAGTTTGAAAAATCGACCATTTTTTGCCCCTAAAAATGCACCATTTTTCGAGTAATTGACTTTGAAGTATTCTCGTTCTGCACAGGGCAGACCAAATCTTTGATTATTGCGAACATTGTTGGGGTAATATCTTACACATCTTTTGGACCTATCGCCCAGGCGTGGCGATCCCCGCAGAAGCGACGCCAGCTGCGACAAGAGTTGCAGTCAGAGGCAAGTTCGACAGCTTGTAATTTCTGAGCGCAAATCGCAAAATTCGAGTGCAGCTGCGGGTTAGAAGTTAAGAGGTTCCTCAATCAGATCACTCATGATTTGGACGAAATTATTTGAAGTGCACCAAAAAATGGCCACAGGAAGAAAAATTGTGAAATTTTTATAGTTGGAAAGATTTTTCTTCTTGATGTGCAGATCAAACACGTCTTGGCATCGATAAAAGTCAGAAGCCGTATCGAAAACTTTAGGCTTCCCTCTACTCAACAGTATAAAAACCTTGGTGTCAAAGTCCGACCGAGCGCCGAAACAATGCGTTTGAAAATGAAATTTCCAAAAGTGCCCGGGAACTTTCTTTACAACCTAATAATAATCACGATCATGTTTTGCAAGAAAACTAGCACGTCATTCAAGCTACTGAATCGCAGCAATAATGAGGAGGCTTGCTTTTTTACTTGTCTCTATCACAATTACTTATGCCTACGATAGAGAGAACGTAGTATGCGATGATTATGATACACGGCAGGAAGCGTTTTGCGGATATGATTTTGGTAAGCATGTGAATTTTGAATTTTGTTTCTGATTCTTGTATCGTAGCAGAGCTGTCTTCTTTCAGTTGCTCATGTGGTAGTCACATCCAAAAGGAGGATTACTGTTGGAGAAGGATGGCCTAGGTACACTTACGACGTAGAATATATCGAGATTTTCAAGGCCAGTGTCTTTGTGAATTTACAGGCTGCTGCATGACGAAAGCGCAATATCTTTGGGAGCGAACGCGGCTCTATTATTCGCAGAGCGCATGAGGCGCAGGATTTGCAACGTTGAGGATGCGCGCGCGCGTCGCGTTCGCGCCTGCTCAGCTAGTACTGCTTCTGCGCCTTCGTCATGCAACAGCCTTTAGACTGGAATAATTACAATTTTTCAAAATGGCAATCACTTTGTAAAAAAAGCAAGTGTTTTTTGGAAATCATACCTTTGCATAGAAATTTTATAGGCCCTTTGACAAGCAAGTCACTTCAATCTTCAGATATGATTTAATTAAGAAGAAAACCTGCGTTTAGGGAGATGGGGAACTTCCAAAAATCGTCATGGCTTATCCGACTGATCACATTCCCAAACGCTTCCATGGAGTCGATCTTGAAAAAGGGAAGGAATATGTCATTGCAGGTAAATACAACTCATATATTAAATTGATTTTAGCAAATTTTGAGAATTTGGGATTAGAACAATGAACTACTCAACTTTTATGCAGACTTGTAGGACAAGCTGAGCTGAACACTTGGTTGAATGACTGTCCTGTACGGGAACGCCTTTTGACAGAATGGGACCAACTTTCGGAGGAAGAGAAAAATGAACTGCGCACCTTTGAATGCTGATAGGAGCATTCTGGAAATGTATCGTTATGGCTATGTGATTTCACTAGATGATATTACCAAACCTAATCCTTAACACTTGTGTCTAATTTTGCACTGCTTGGTTTTTTTCTTTCGTTGAATGGCTTACATACTTTCCTTACTATATGCTATTTCTCATGTCGTTGTTAAATTGTAAATTTCCCTCAATTTACGCTTGTCAGTAAAATAAAGTCTACCACTGGACTGCGATTACATATCTTGTTAGATTAGCAAGATTTGCCGAGCTATAGCGAAAGATAGAGCAGACCTTTCAATTTTTGAAGAAATATATGAAGAAGATATATAATAAAAATCGGAGCTAGCCTATTGAGCCCTTTTATCATGGTTAGGGCCATAACCATACCAACTATCTGCTTGCTTTCTTTCTTGTCGTTTTTTCGTTCTCTAGTTTGTAAATAGTAACGATGAGCCAGCTTGAATCTTACAATTTCAGATATTACGTAGGCTGAACCAAAGGCTCGTCCGCATCATTTGCGAAAATGTCGGGCTAGAGGACTATATGTCGCCGAATCTCGGAGGGATCTGTACCGACTTTTTACCAAACCGCACTTCCTTGCACGTGCGAGGGTGCACATTTGTTGCAGATGACAATGGGGGCCGTCCCATTTTGCGATATATAGTCCTCTACCCGTTGCCTGGTCTTGAAAATTGCAAAAAAAAAAGAGTAAATAATGCACTTTCGATTGACGCTTTGCTTGCTTTCTTAAAGCCTTGATTGTAGAGATAAAATTGAGAAAAGGAGATCACTTCAGGTTCAGCAATTTGTGGCAAGCCCGTTCTTTGAATAGCGTGCAATATAATTTGAAACAACCAGTACCATAACCTTTGTGCCTCCTCTTCCTAAACGAGCAAAGCTTGTGCTGATCAAGCTGTTCTGAGAAATGTTAAGATTTCGAAATTAGATTGTCCCAAACGTTCTTGCGCTGCATTTTCAAAAATTATCTTCGTCATATCTTGATGGATTCCTTTGGAAGTAACTCCCTTCGAAAGCAGAGATCAAGTTCTTTGCAAGTAAGCTGTGAATCAGTATGAAAAAGTTCGAGGGCTAGAACCAATCGAAGGAAACTAGTCAAGATCGGCATTTTTCAAACTGGGTCACAAAAAATTTTGGAAGTATTATTATTTGATAGAGGAAATTATACTCTTCACTATAGTAACTTTCCCATGAAATAAAACGAAAAAGGTCGAGAGTTAGGAGCAAATAAAGGGAATCCCTTCACTTTTGCAATTCTTGAGCATGCTCAGTAAAGCCTGAAAACGTCACAGAACGACAGGAAAGTCACGACCATGGGTTTTGTGACCTTGTCTTTCTAAATGAGCAAAACTTGAGAGCAATCTTGATTTTCGTGAAAAATGCATACTGAAAACCGACAAAATCGCAAGTTGGTTGTCTAGTTTAGTTGCAGTCGATTAGTTCGAAACTCTCTCAGATAAAAGGAGAAGGTCACACAATCCATGTTCATGGCTTTTGCATCTTTTCGACGTATTCAGGCCTTTTTGAGTATGCTCAAAATTCAAAATTCAACTCAACATCTCGAATAATTATGTCTAACTCTCGGTCTTTTTCGAATTGATTTATGGGGAAGTTACTATGGTAATAATTCTTATATATAAAGCTGAATGTGTGTATGTCTGTCTATGGGTACGTATGTGCGAAATAGAAATTTTTATTTATAAACTGATTTGGACCAAACTTGGCACACATACACTCCGGGCAGGGAGCGTGTCATAGACTACTTTTCGTTATCGATCGATATCGATTGTATCGATTTTTGTCAATTTTTCGCGTAGTATGGCCTACGAGGCTGGGAGTTGGCACAGGGGGTAAGTGGGCATAATGATTCCGAATACAGTGTTAGTTTCCAGAATATATTACTTTTATCGATTTTATTGACTTTTTGTTGAGTTTGAGCTACGGGAGTGGGAGTTGGCACAGGGGGTAATCGAGCATGCTGATTAGGAATACAATATTAGTTTTTGGTATTACCTATTAATTTTATTATCGATTTTATCGATTTTTTTCAAAATCTGGGCTAAAGGGCTGGGAGTTGGCAGGTAAGTGGGCATGCTGATTTTGAAAACAACACAGGGAACGGGAAATGGAGTGTAAAGTGGGCACAGGGAAAAGCTGTACAGGGATAGGGATAGGACCTTTATTACAATGTTTTGACAGGGCCAAACGGAGCCGGGTGAGCAAGCTAGTATTCCTTATCAAACAAAAATACTGCCAGAATTTTTGGTGATCCTGCCTGAAAAAAGAAAACTTGAGTATTTTCTTCAATTGTCTTTAACTCTCGAACTTTTCCATATCAATTCATGGCAAGAGTACCTGCTGTAGAAAGAATGGTTTCTTCTTTCAAAAAAACAAATATAAAAAAATACCTAGAGAAAGAAGGAAGTTATGATGTTTTGAAAATGGGCGCAAGAACTTTTGCGACAACCCAACGTACCGAAAAAATCAATTTTCCTATAAAAGTGTTTTTTTGGCTTTTTTTGTCGGAGTCATAATTTTTTACAGAAGAGCTCGATCAGCACAAGCTTTGCTAATTTAGAGAAAGGTTAAGAAAAATTACTGTACTGAATGTTTTGGACTTTATTGCATAGTTTCGGATTTTCAACGGTCTTGTCCCAAATCCAAACCTCAGAAAATTTTTCGATTTTTATCTCTGCTCGATAGAGAGTAAGCAAGGTGTCGATAGAAAGTAGAAGATTTACTTTTTCCAAGAGTTTTCAATGCTAGACTAGAAATTGCAGATTTTTGAAAGTGGTGCGAACGAACTTTAGTTCAACTTGACATTTCAAAATAAACCAATTTTGATCACATAATTCATCATAAAGCTGAGTTAGTATAGAGAGCTCTCTTGTCAGCAGCAGTTGGGCATTGCCTCGAATACAAAATGCCGTGTTCTGAAGTATAGTTACTGCAAAACTACAATAGGTGAACTTAAACGTGTTCCACCATTGCATAACGTAGTACTGTTGACACTCTCTCTTCCCAGTTTCACAGAAAAAAAAACTCAAGCTTATTCTCACGCTGTTTTCGTGCAGTAGTTTTTTGTACTGCAAGATATGATAGCTCTGAGAATTCCCTGAGAGTGCTGAGATAATTGCTGGAAATTAGAACCCTTCATTCTCACCATGCCTGACTTTCGCTAATTTTCAGAATTTTTATTCGGGGCTCTTGGGGGAACTCTGATAACTGACAAATAAAGCAAATTTTTGAGTTGCTACAATTTTCTGTAGCTCTATAGCTTGTCTTCCAGAAATATCAAAACGTATTTTTCAATAGCCAAAAAATACCACTGGCCTATTCTAACCTCGAACATGAAACGGTAAACAACTTTAGTAACATTCGACTTCGACGGGAGACCGTCCACCCTAAGTTGAGGGTGTTGAGCTTTTGGCAGCATATAACAGTAGGGCCTCCTATCAAGCCAATGCCCAAGTCGCGGCGCAATATGCCGCTTCGGAAGCTAGAAAATCTCTTCGGAATAGCGAGAATGCAAGGACCCCCATCCATGCCCGCCCCTCCCCACCCATGCCCGCCCATTTGTGCGCGGCTCATCCAATCACCGTTCTGGAAAGCCGGCCTATGGGTTCTCTGGAATGGGATTGTAGGGAATTTCGCATTCTCGACTTCATATTTGGAATCAAGGACATGAGAAAGTCCTGAAACGACAAAAACCTGGAAGTCGGGAATTTGGGTGGACGGTGCCTTTAAGAAAATCGTGCTGTATAAAGATCTCTTTCCGGATTACAGTGAAGCGGCTGAGCGGCTGGCTTGAAAAATCGAAAAATTGCGCCTTATACGCTTGAAATTAGGGTAGTTGCAAATTTATTATAATTCTTTCCCTAGCGCTGCTGAAGCTGACCGCAACCAGTATGTTTCACTACTTGTGCTTGGAGGCAGCGTCTGTACAGACTTTCGACTTTCATTGGGGTTGATTCTCAGTCACTCGAGTTGCGTGAATCCATCTATCAAAGTGAGGGTTGTGTGTTGCCGATTAACTTCACCCCGCGCGGACATGGTATGTATCTGTCATATGTGTAACATGCATGAATGCGTAACCTTTGATTCAACTGACTTGGCACCATTAGGGCGCGGTTTTGTGGTCAATTGAGGCCGCTCGCGCCCGCGACGCACCTGCGTCTCTCTCGCCGAGTGCTCTCTGATCACTGCCTAGCCTTAATTAGGTCACGAAGCCCCGCTCACAGGTGCGATAGTGTGAGACTTTTCTCACCCCCTCTTCACCCCTGAGCGGGGACCAAGGTGACCCCCTTCACCAAAAGCCGAGAAAAAATCAACAGTGAGGTAAGATTAAGCGAAGGAGATATTTGTACGTGAATTGTCAGTGTATAGGAAAGGAGGAGTCTGTTGAAAAAAGTGCTTGGTGACGGGTGTGAGTAGTGATTTCTGGAGATTTTCGGGTTTTTGACATAAAAAAATTCATAACTTTTGTAGATGAATATCTTTTACGGCGAGATGATCACCATTAGAACGGCCTCGTTCTCCGCTCTCAGAAAATATACAGCATGTTTGAGATCCGTTTAAAAAAGTGCGTTGTGAAAGATGTGCCTAGTGATTTTTGGGAATTTTCGAGTTTTCAGGATAAAAAAAATCCGTGACTACTGCAGATGAACAGCTGGTGCAAGGAAATAATAACCATCGGAACCGCCTCGTCCTCCGCTTTCAAAAAATATATAGCATGTCTGAGATCCTTTCAAAAAAGTGCCTGGGTGAAGGGTGTGCTTGGTGATTTTTGAAGATACTCGATTTTTTATCAAAGAATTCATAACTTTTTTAGATGAATATCTTGTACGCCGAGATAGTCAACATTGGAACCGTCTGGTCCTCCGCTTTCAGAAAATATATACTTTGTCTGGGTTCGTTAAAAAAAGTGCCGGGTGAAGGGTGGGTGAGACTTTTATAATGGGAGTGCTCAAGTAGACTCCTTTTTACA